CAAAAACATGTCACAACATGTCAAAATCATGTCATCCTGTGTCACATCATGTCAAATCTGTCATGTCAAAATTGCGTGACATGTCAAAAGTTGTGTCACATCATGACAAAAACATGTCCCATCGTGTCATATCCAAAATCCTGTCACATGTCAACGTGACTTTATGATAGAATGATGATGCTTGTTCTTACCCTGGAGGGCAAACATAATCTGCTCTTAACTGTAGATTTTCACCAAAACCAAACTTCCTAAGAACAGTCCATGTAGTCTCATGTCTGCCTCTTTGTATAAACAACGTATGAAGGAACAGGAAACCTTTGATACAGTACATCAAAACGTAAAAAAATTATATTAATACACTAACCAGTATTCTAGATGTGATATACACCAATTTCAACAATTGTTGACATACCAAAAGCCTCAAGCAACAAGCCAAGACTGCAGAGAACGCCAGTACTTTTAGCTGTAATTAGTTTATTCATGGTGCATTTTCATTTATTGACTTCACAAATTGCTCCTAGCAAGGCTGCTTGAGATGATAATTAGTGGAGAGCTATAGCTACTTGCATGAACCATGAATAAATCAATTATAATTAAAATTACCGACGTTCTCTGGAGCCTTGGCTTGTTGCTTGAGGCTCTTGGTGCGACAACGATTTTCAAATATACAGTCATGTATATAGATTATCAACATGTTAAGAGCTTGATATCGTTTTTATTCACGAGTTTACATATCATATCATGAACGAGCAAATCTGTGAGGGTTTTGAGCAATGCATATGATATGGAAAACAAGTGAATAAAAAAAGATATCAGGCTCGTAACATGTCATAATTTGTTTATTACACATTTAGGGTCGATAAARTGACAAATTCATTTCCAGTTAACCATGAAATGATATTGTATCACTTCAATGATATGGTTTTAAGTGATATTTACTGTACTATTGACTGGTTTCTCACAAAAGCAGACATCCCACGCACCTTTTAAGGTCAGTCCATTATCCTTGAGGCCACCATCAATATTTTTGCGAACTACATTCTTAACATCTTGTAAGCCTTGACCTTGAAGAGGTGAATTGAAGCAACGTTTCTAGGGGAAAAAGGGGGGTTTTGAGCAAATTCAACCTGACTGGAAGTGAGTATTAAATAAGGCTTCAATCTTTTATCTAGCCATCCCTCCATTCATTCTTCACTTCATTGATCCATCTATCCATCCATTCATTTTATATTCAATGATTCATTCTTTTATTAAATCTAATCATCCATCATCCATCCATTCATGTATTCATCCATTCATTCCTCCATCCATAAAGCCATCCATCCATTATTAATTCATGCATTCATTCATTCATTCATCCGACCTTTATTCACTCATACACCCATCCATCCATCGCTTCATTTATTCATCCATTCATTCATCCATCTATCCACCTTTTGAGATAACAAAGAAAAATATATAACATACCTGGAAATTGTTCAGCTCAGTGTCATTAAGTACTCCATCTCCATCCGCATCTGATATCTACAATTAAAAAGCACAACAACAATTATTAAGCATACATCCATATTAAACTTATGACATAAAAACCAGATGTACTCTGTTTGAAAGAAAACAGACTTACTTTGAATATCCTAGTCAATGCTTTCTCACAAAGTGGTTTAAGCTGAAAATGAAAAACCAAAAAAATGTTATGTACAATCTTATCTAATCTCTTGTTTCAAGAGCCTTAAGTCTAAATAAAGTAACATTTGATGTGGATCTGGATACCTTCAATCTTATTGGACCCTGAAACAACTTAGGCTGATCAAAGTCAGGGTATGGCTTTAAATCTAATTGGAATGTATTGCACAAAAAATGCTATAGCATACAGTGAGATATCTGAACATTCTTGAGTCACTATACAGTGATCTTGAGTGCTATTATTGGTCCTGAATGTTTTAATTCCATAGTATATCACAGTGGCTTTTCACATTCACATATGGTAAAAAGATGTTTAGGTTACCTGTGCCATAGATGACACAGGAAACCCATACATTTGAATATGGACAACAATTACATAATAATAATAATATAATATAAATGACTTTATCATTGTCTCTAAACTTATTGCCAGGCAAACATGTCCTACTAATTGGGGAGACTAAGCACATTTTAAACAATGCAGTATTAAGGTGTACCTGTTTTTCCTCAGGTAGGTAGAGAGGTGCTGTTGGATGAAGCACTGCCTTTTGTGCATAGTAAAACATCTCTGATATGTTCTTGAGGCTCTTGGCAGAACACTTTGATTGAAGAAAAATATATTATTCTATTAAACATTTGTCAGAAAAACCTAGATTCTGTTAGTTTCAAAAATTATCCATACCCTTCCCCCCCTTCACCCCACAAAGGTATTTGAGATTTCTGAGGGATGGAAGTGGGAGAAAGAATAAAATTACAGAGTCTGTATGGAAGGAAATAGAAATATCTGAGGGGAGGGGGAGGTCTTAAAAAAATTCCTCCATGAGGGGGGTATGGATAATTTTTGGAATACACATTCTTTAATAAAGTTTATAATTACCTCAATGCATGTTTCCACTTCTGTGTAGTCATTCATTATTGGAAGAACAACCTTAAATCACATTCAACACTAAATAAGTAGTCAAGACTTTATTGTTAGTGCAAATAGCTTAGGGTAAGTTATATCAAGACCCTCAAACAATCTCTGGGCTGATCTATGTCAACTGCTTAGACCAGAGGTCACAGAGAAGGACCCTTATCAAGAAAAGACCAACTAAACTTTACCCACATTTGCTTGGGGGAGAAGCAACTGCTCTTTCCTTCCCATACACATACAATATAGCAATAGCTAAATCACTATTAAAAGGCAATACAAATTCAATTTGAGCATCATTTATTGGTATGTACTTGATGATATTAGATGTAGTTACACATATATAATACTTACATCCATCGTACTCAAGTCAGATAGATCAGACTGTAAATGGGAAAAAACATACAACATGTCAGATTACTATTTATTGGTGTTTATTAACATAATACTGATGGTAATATAATATACCAACTATTTTCACAAAAGCTCTAACAACAACCAATGTGCTTTATTTGTACCACAGATTACAATAAGGAGAAAATTTTAAACACATAATTACTATGACTTTACCTTATTTCCAACAATTATAACTGGTTTGGTCTGCTCTTCATCTTCAGTGACATTTCGGATCAAAGGCATCCATACGCTTGTTATCTGTAAGTTAACATGTCATTTAAGTCATCATTGGAAGGTAGATACCATTGTTTGCAAAGGCAAAGGCATACATTTTAAGAAAGATATTACAATAGAGGTTTCTTTGCATTGTGTAGTTCCAGAAATCATCCATACCCACCCCACAGAGGAATTTGGAATTTCCAAAGAGTAGTTTGTATGGAAGAAAATTGAAATTTCTGGGGAGTAGGGGGAGGGGGGTTGTCTTAAAAAAATTCCTCCGTGAGGGGGGTATGGATAATTTCTGGAATTACACATTGATGATGTGCCGGTAGCTGTCTTAGATGGCAGAGTAATAGGGAGGACCTGGGTAATTGAATTATTTCTTAAGTTGTAAAATGGTTGTATTGTTACTGCCATCCAACATAACTACTGTCATATGATTCTGCAAAACCTCCATTATCAGAAATAGATATATTTACATTTTTTCAACATTTTTCAAGTATGTACACTCCAGCATAATGAATATTCCATAATACTATTCACAGCGGTATGCTTTTACTTACTCTTTCTATTGTTTCTTCATCTGTGACATCGTATACAATGCAAACGACATTTGCCTTTATAAGATATAAGAAAACAAAGATTTTTTTCAAACTAGACATGTTTTCATATCTCACAATAAACAAGTTTCGAGTTCCAAATTACTGCTGTGTTTCTTGATTGCTGACTCATTTACTCATGGTTAGCCTCAAATCCAGTGTCTAAATATTCACAAATACCAACGATAAAGTAAAGAATACACAACTTCAGCAATACAAACATTTAGAAATTACATGGACCTTCACTGGAATGCAGGAATATCCTGCACAAAATTGAGGTTAACCCTGAGCAACAGAGAACTCAAAACTCAAAACTCAGTACTCCTCTAGATCTCTAGAGCTCCCTTTTACTTCATTAGTTACCATACCTTTTGTATTTCTTCTGCTAATGCATCTTCCGTTTGCTCTTCAGCTGTTTGTGGAAAATGAGAGTAAATTAACTGTTGCACAGAAGAAACCCAACCAAGAATGCAATGGGTATTGCTATATGAATTAAGTACTTGGTAGTATAGAAACCCTAGTACATACTGCCAAACCTCTTTACAAACCCCTTACGAAAACGAAATTCAAAAACTTTGGTGGAAAGTTCAAAAGTTAATAACATACTTCGTTTTGAGGTTCCAAAGTTGGTTGTTAACTCTGGAATTCCCAAACGTAGTTTGTATCCAAATAGCGTAATTTAATGTGAAACTGACTGTACACTCACTTTCAGAATATATTCAATTAAAACAGTTACCTGAGTAATCTACAATATGCGTAGGAACCTTTTCTGGAGTGACATCAGCTGGTATAGTAATTTCTTCAGCTCTTGATGGAACCTTTTACAATAAATAAATCAAGTTGAGGGATGGGATGATAGTATTGAGAATTAGTGAGGGCTTATTGTTGGATATTGTTTTTAATTACTAGACTGTGATCAGTCCCATTTTCCCCTCCAGACTCATTAAAGACGAGTGTTTTGGGATTCCTATGGATGAGTGTAGATTTGAGTCAAGTAAGCCGGGAGAACATACATATTTGACAGCTGTCAATCGAAAATGACATATCTATTTTATGGAAAAATTATAAGAAATTAGACCAATTCCTTCAAGTGTTAAGTATACATTGATTGGTAAGATAATTTTCCTTTGTGTGATTTTCTTGAAATTTAAATTTAAATACATAAAAAGAATGGTGTATATAATGAGCTTAGTTTTCATACATTCAACCTGTTTTAATGCATTTTGATAAATGAAAGAACAAAAAGATTAATCTTTAARTTTCCCAGTCAATTCATAGCTTATAAATAACCTTATTCCTACATATCTCTTAAGCTTAGTTCTCAATCTTATACAACATGAAATTATTTATTTTGCATGCAAGAGCTAGCTTTATATTTTTTTCTAATAAGGTAACTCACCTCTTCTGGAAATTCCTCACTGACCAGCGATAATATTAACGATGTTTTCCCTACTTGAGCTACAAACATAAGTCATACATCAATGTCAGAACCTAATGAAAATCTTTAAAACCAGAAAAACTCTTCTCCACACAATCTAAATCACAGTTTTACTCACGGTCACCCACGAGCAAAATTCGCACGTCTCGGCTCGACATTTTTTTGCTTTTCCAAAAACTCAAGTCTGCCCTTTAATAACAGACAAGTACTATGAAAGAGCCTTTGTTATTTACTCTTGAATGGTAATTTGATTTGTTTTTGAAGAACCGAAGGAGAAAGATGGGTTTTTATGCTTAAAAATGCCAGGTGTTGGCTCTAAATGTCGTCTTTTTTGCCCAACCACTTTCTGTCCTCCATGTTTACCGCCTTGCTTCACTCATACCAGATGACCTGGAAACTAGTTTCTAGTCTCACCCCAAACTTGCTCAATTTCTCATCACCCTCCCCTCCCTAAAAATGTTTGAGGAATTTTTGATAATCATCTGATGTCACCCCAGGTTGATAATGGGATAAGAACATTTCGATATTGACCTTAGTTCAAGCCTTCCATAGTAGACCTTATTCCTAGTGTAACTGAATCCTAGTCTGCGAGAAGTGACAGCTAGTGACCTAGATATAGTGTCTCTTTCAAAAATTGCAGTAGTATCATTTTCACTTTCCTTTTGAAAAATTATGGAATATACTTTTCATGTTTCATTTTTTTTATGCTCAATAATTAAGCTTATTAGCTTTCTTTGAAGATTTTCTAGTTGTGGACTGAGGGATGCTTTTGATACTACGAAAGAAATGGAGGTTGTGATCCAGCAAATGAATATATATAATAAATTAATTAATGAACCAGCTTTAAAACCTTCCTGTTGCCAACTAACAAGCAGACCCACTCACTGACCAAGACACTTCAGTCGAGTAAGATTAAAATGAAATATTATTAAGTCCTCTTATCAAAAAAGCTCAGTTATGAGGATCAGTTTGACTTTATTTTCCTCAGTGCTTGAAAAATTAAAAAAAAAAAAATTAATCAAACCATGTTTAGATGCCATAAGTTTCACATGCCATATTAAAAATTTATCTTTTAGGTATAAATTTGTTTTAATATCCATTACGACTTCTGACTGTTCTTTTGATTTATAATTTAGGTGAAAAGAATCTCTTCATATCATATATGAAGAAAATATCTTTTAAGTATAAATTTGTTTTATAGTATCCATAATTACAAATTAAACTGACTGTTCTTTTGATTTATAATTTAGGTTGAAAAGAATCTCAGTCTATCTCCTTTAAATTTTGTCTGTATCAGGTTTTTGATGCAGCTGTCTATGACAAGATGAACTAAAATAAATTTTGAATATATGCTTCAACTATTTCTTTTATAGGGGGTTCCCCTAAGTGCCAAGCCCACGTTTCCTATTGTTCTGTTGCAAATTTAAGCTCAAACTTCCTTTATCATTCAAAACAAGTAAATTTACACCCACGCATGATAAAATAAAAATTACGATTTTTTTCAAATGATGTTCAAACCTTTATTTCATATTCTAGAAATAATACATTTAATAGAAACCTTAAAACAAGTTTTTTCGTCATTTATTTCAATAAAATAAGTTTGTTGTAATTTTTGTTGCTTTTTTAAGCGATCCAACTATTCACAATTTTTCGCATTAAAACAAAACCATAATATTTTATGTACAAAAATTATTTTCATACAAAGAGAAAACCTTAATAACAATTTTATACAGAAATACCATTTTTCAAATAATTTTAACAGTGTTCACTGTGAATGTATGTCTTTGCACAATTCCTATAAATTCGACCGAGGCGACTTTTTACAGAGAACGCAATTTTTATATAAACGAACTTTATATAAATTACAATAAGCCCTCAATCATTTTTCGACATTTGCATTTTTTATATAAATATTGGCAATATATGTGGACTTGTTTTTTGTTGATTATTCTAAAAGTATATGTTTTAGAGTTTCTTTCTTACGCCATTATTGGCATCTGTGAATTGTTGAAATTGTCTCTGTAAGGCATATCAGCAAAAGCAAGCCAGTCTAAGTTGGGAGAGTTTGAAAAAGGAGGCGAATTACGTCTGCCATCTTGGTGGTATCGTTCTGTTGTTCTAGGGAAAGTCCATGGCCGTCCGACTGGCTTGATAGGACTGAATTCTTGAGCGTTTGGAGACAAAGGAGAAGGAATATTTCTTCCTGGCCTTGAGCGAGGTTTCTTCCCCATATCTTCTGCTGTACTCCAGGCAAAATATGGAGCAAAAGACTGGCCCATTACTGGCGAGGGGGACGAAGAAGAAGAACCACTCGAGAACGTAGGCGAAGATCGTTCGGCACTTCTTTCGAACGACTTGGTCCTTGTAGCATTATGGCCGTTCAAAAGACCGACCCATCGTGCCGTTTCGGCATCAGAAATCTCATCGGCAAAGCTGTTGCTCTCCTTCTTATAAATTGAGCTGACTGAACCTTGTTCGCCTGTAATAACAAAAATAAAATAAAATATTAAACATTAGCTATTCATACACAAACCAGAAAATATCTGACGGCCGACATTTATTGTGACCACAAAAGGACATCTCGCGTTCGGAGTCAATTCGTAAAAAGGAATAAAAAATACAATTCTTAACCAACACATTAGGAAAAAATGGTACAGTGAACCGTGCAATGAGTCCTTTATTCAAGGAATTTAGAGAAAAATATGGCCTCTATTAAATTCTTATCAAAGCAAACAAACCGAGCCGTACAGGAGGACGGCAAATATAGTCAACAAGCAGTCATTTGATATGATCGCGTACGAGGGTTTTTTYCCCACAATGTTCAAAGAAAAACCATTTATCAATCCTTATAGTTTTGGTAAGAAAAAAGAAGCTTTATGGAAGGCCTCAACGATTCTGACACCTTCGAGGAAATTTCAAATATGGCTTTTTTTTGTACTTTTATTCAAGTTAATAGTATTTTCACCTACCGATTCTGTACGACACTTCGTGAGGGTCGATCCACAAACATAGCTTCTCGGGCAAATTTGCCTTTACATCCTCAATTTTTAACCCACTTTCTTTAGCAGCTTCGACCAGGACAGGGTCAAGCTTTTCGGAGATGAGAATACAGCGGTAGGCACTTCCTTTTTGGGGTCTATCAGGATACCAATGGCCTTCGAATTTCTGGGTCAATTTTTTGGCCAATTCTTCGCCAAACAGGTCGACTCGTCTTCTTGGTAGCTTGTTGTAAAGGTAGTTCATCAGAAAATTGACGGATACTTGGATTTCAAGCTCCATGTCGTCTTGTAGTTTGTCTTTTTTATTAAACGTATTTGGTTCTTTGAAGTATAAAATTTTTATAAAGGAAAAAATATGAGTGACTATAGTTTCTGTTTCCTCTACCAGCTGAAGTACGAGGGAAAGAGCGTAAAGAACACAGAAAGGGGGTTTTTGGTTCTTAGATTTGTTTACACTGCTCATCTGTGATTGGTCTGAATTATTGATAGCTACGCACTTTTCGACCAATCACCATCAAGACCATCGGAAGTGCAACAAAGGCCTCTCAAAGCCAACCAATCAGAACTTTTTATTCATTATGTGACGTCAAGACGACGCTCGTCTTTGACGCCTAAAATTAGATTTCAGTGACGTCACTAGACTGCTCCCAACTTTTGTCTTTGAGCTTCCTCTGACGTCTTTCATCTTCATGGTTACGATGCCATAAAAGGAATTGTTTAATTATAGTTTAAATAATGATCAAAAATATATGACGAAAAGTGGAAGGACCGTACACTAGTTTAAAGTGATATGTATTTTTACGGAGATATCTATATGTTTTCATCAAATCGTCTACTCTCAATAAGTATTTTCACTGTTGTATCCCTTCGCTAGCTCGACACTTCGTTCGTGGTTTATGCCTTTTCGCACGAAAACCTCAGAGTATTTATATCCCACCCACAAAGAGGATTACGAGAGGGAAAGTACCTACATTAAAAAGACAAGACGTTTCGTTGCAATATAACAGTAAATAACTGGTAGATGGCAGGGATAAATCGGAGTTAATTAATTTTTTAAGTACTTCCATGTCATATAGAATTGTGTTTTTATCTTTGTACGGTCTATATTTATATTAGTTGTTTTAGGCTTATAAACAAGTGACACATTAAGCCAAAATAAAAACAAAATTTTTAAATGGAATGAATTATTTTCTCTTTCTATATTATGTATTTTTTAATTTAGCTAATTTCTTTTATTATTATATCAAGGTGTTTAAAATAAAGAAAATACATTTTTATAAAAAATTCAAATTTTATATTCAATCACACATTTGTTTTTTTTTTTTTTCATTTTACAAACTTTGAAAAGTGAGACACAAAAAGTACTTATGAATTATTCAAAAAGTGCTTTTGAATTATTTGATTATTTGTATGCATCTCATTGCAATATTTTCTTAAATCATGTATAGTTTAAGCACCTACACTGTATTTAATTTAAACCTTTTTTGGAACTGAAAATAGCTCAGTACTAAGAGTTTCATTCTGTTGTGCAGGAGGTCATCGTTTGAAGTCCTGGCTAGATCAACACTCGGGGTCTTAAAATACCTGAGAAGGTGCTGCCTTTGTTTTTACATCTGTAAATGGTTGGACCTTCAATGTCTCAGATGACCACGTAATGGCCATGCTGTCCCTAATCAACTAGAGATGTTAAAAGAGGACCACAAGTTTACTATCAGTTGAATTATTATAAAGTGTTCTCCTCTGTAAATAAAGGTGGTTTATTTATTATTGATTTTATTTATCTCAAGAAAGTAATTTAATCAAATCAGCTTTTATTAATAACAATATTGATATTTTTACTTGGGTGTCCTGTACTTTTGGCACTTCTGCACAAATTAAAGACAAGGGCCATCACTTACAGTCCATTTATCATTAGAACAGGATTTTAAAATGTACACATATATGCAGAGTACCTTTTTTTACCCCAACCAGAAATATTCCCCAATCTCCCAAATTAATTATGTTATATTTCAAAGGAATAATTCACAAGCGAGTTGTTTATAATAAAAATATATTTGAGCTCCAACAATGCACTACATCAATATTTGTCCATGAATTACATCTATGGATTACAAAGCTGTACACCGTATACCATAGAGGCTTTGCACCATCACATGATGGCAGCCACAACGAGAGGCAGGAACAATTGAATCTGATTTACATGGGAAAGAATTCAGTTTACCAGTGAAAAAAGACTATTATTGTGCCTACTGTCATGGCTGCCATCAAATGATGGTGCAAAGCCACTATTGAAGAAATTCCATACCCATCACAATCAATAACAATTTAACTATTGCAAAGAGCAAATTTTATAGCATGACTGGAAAAGTTACATCACTTGTTCTGGGCATTTTCATTGGCTGAGCAATGACCTTGAAGAATGTAGTCAATTTTCTAACCATGCCAGAAGTTATGTAATTTTACAGTCATGCTTCAAAACTTCCTCTTTTTTAACCGAGTCTAATAGAACTAAATAAGGATTTGTAAGAAATGTACAGAATCACATCTTAAGTCTGAGGAACCACCTCTAGTTATTTGAGTTAAGTAGTTAAAATACAACAAATTACAGAAAAAATATTTTTCAAAACGATGGAAAATTTGGGAGCAAAACTGATGGCAATTTTGTTTCATCATTTTGACAACAATGATTTTGCATTGAAAGTGGTCTCTTCCAAGTTGCTACAAAGCAATAGAGGCGTTAGCTAAATCTTTGGGAGGTATCATGATCAATATTTCATAATTTCTACTTGCAATGCATAATAAAACAAAATGTTTTTACATATCACGTATACTTTCAAAGAGAGAAGGATGGCAAATTGAAGAATATTTTTCTTTGGTACTTTTATGCTAATCTCCATCAAATTCAAACTAAGAACTGCCTTAATAAATGCAAAAGAGCTTACTTAGCTTAAATGTTATCACTTTTGATCTTACGATTCCCATTATAGATTTTGGAGAGAAATAAATGGGTAATCATCTAACCAAAGTGAAAACAAGCTTACAGTCACTTAATTTTAAAGTAAACTAGTGAAAAAATAGCTGGCTGATGAGTTCTGAATGTCTTTGTCATAGCAATCAAATAATAAAATCCCAAACTGTGATATTGCTTTAAATTTGTGAACTATAATATCAAGTGATTTTTAGCAGTACAGTACTTCAAGATGTGGTTAATTTTTATGTGCGTTCTCTGGATTCAACTGATAAGATAAATTCAATGCCAAACACAGTCAAAATGGTGTTGGAGAATCTTAAATGCAATGAGTCACAAGCCAATTTATTCTTCAATAAATCATAGATTTGTTTTATGAGATTATGGTTGCATTTCACAAAATGCAACCAACACACTTTAAAATCTAATGCAATATCAAGGAAATACAACAAAGTACACAAATGTTTTTTTGCTAACGTTTTGGTGTACACAAAGAAAAAAGAAGGAAAAATAATTTGCTTGGCTTTCCATTTACAGAATGAATTTGATATCTTAATTTGCTATTTTTACTTATGGTGAAATTATAAATGACTTTTACATTAAGCAACCAGTAGAACATTTGGAAATTCTCTGAAAATTTATTCATTTTTAAAATCAATATTAATTCACTTTAGAAGAAATGCTGCTTATTAGTTTTAAAATCACTTTTTCAAAATATATATCATTTCAAATACAAGAACATTATCTATGATATGTGAACTTCTCAAAGTAATCTCAGCTTTTGGCGAAAAATGTATGAAGGTAATCAATATTGTTTGTGTTATTTTGTTGTGCTGATAATGAACCAGCACCTATTTTGTTTTGTCATATCTAAGAAATTGCTCAATGTAGAAAACACTTGTTGTAGAACAAACAAGACTGCTAACAAATACTTACATTGTACCATTAAAGTAGTTACTTAATGATGACTTGCAATCAAGAAATTAAGTGATCATAGAACAGTACATATTTTAGGTTTCTTTTTTGTTGGTTTGGTTGGACATAATACTGCTCGGATAGCCTCATCGAATACTGTTTTAAGTCCTTTCTGAGTCAATGCTGAACATTCCAGGTACTTGACTGCACCAATTTCTTTTGCCATGTTTAATCCTTGTGGGTAGGTTAGAGGGTTTAGCTTCTTTTCTCTTAGCTTCTCTATAGTTTCCTTATCATCACGAAGATCAAGTTTGGTTCCTACAAGGACGATTGGTGTATTTGGACAATGGTGGCTCACTTCAGGGTACCACTGAATTAAAAGAAAAAATGAATTTAATGACAATTGTCAAGAACAGATCCTGATAAAGTGTTGATAAACCAAGTCTAGGAATAACAACATCCGACACATCAAGGATTAGAGGTGAGTGCACGACCTCTAGCCCACCCTTGATTCAATAAATAAATTAGTGCCAATAAATCTAATAATTGAGGATAACAGATTTTGACGAAGTACTGAGATTTGTGGTAAAGTGTGATAATCTGGGTGAGTGTAATCTTGAGAAAGACTGTTGTTGGTGGTGACTGACATTTCGACAACCTGAGTGGAATTCATCTTTAGAGTGCAGTGAGAAAACTAAAGACAGTCAATGGTATTTAAGTATTCAATTTAAGTATCAAGAATAAGCTTAAGCTTTATAAGAATCAAATTCGAGACTCCAATGAGAGGTGAGTGCACTACCACTGTCCCACTTTATTTAATAAATGAATTCAATGATGACAATTCTGGAGAACAGAGTTTGATTAAGTGTTGAGAATAAGCTTAAATTTTACTTATATAATGCTGAGTCCAGGAAATGAACCTTAGATCCCTGGAGTGAGAGTCGAGTGCACTAATGTTACCTCACATTTGATTCCTTCATTTATAGACAGTGGGAAAACAAAATCATTTTACGTTAGGCTTACCTTTGCTCTAACATTTTCATATGAAGCTGGACTAATAAGTGAGAAGCAAATAAGGAACACATCCTGTAGAGAAAAAATAGCAAGATTTTAGTCATTCACAAACAAGTTTTAATCTGCTTCGTTTAATCTAATAGTGGTCAGAAGTGGTGTGCACTGCTAAAATTAATATGTGAGCCTGGTTTGAGTCCTGCCAGCCTCTGTTGTATATGAGTAGAGTTGTTGTTTGTTGGTTCTCTCCTGACTTTAAGGGTTTTTCTCCAGGATTCTCAGGTTTTCCTCCCTCCCCAAAAATCAACTTCTAAATTTGAAATTATTCTGGACTTTGAGGGGGACTTTCAATAAATACAATAGCTTGTTATCCCTCATATGGAAACTGAAAATATGAAAATTGTTATCCTGCATATGAAAACTATTGTGTTCATACAAAGTGCCACTTTAAATGAACACAATTTGATGCAAATGAGCCAAATCAAATTGCTTTATGGGTTTTAAGAAACCAGTGAATAGTCTCACTGGGAGTGGCTGTGATTTTGGGTTGCTTGTGGCAAGAGAGAGAGAGTACCAAAGCAAGCTCTTGTCATGCATGGCTTTTGCAGAAATAGAACCAAGGATCCCAAAATATTGGTTAAAGATGAATGTTCTACAGCCATGTTGCCCATATTTCTACCACTTTATTTATTTTAAACTACTTTGTTCGATACAGTGCTTAAAACTGTACGAGATAAATAAAAATAAAGGAAGAAGACCTACTGTTTGAGGATACGATAATGGTCTTAGTCTGTCATAATCTTCTTGTCCTGTAAAGAACGATAAGTTTTTTTAAAGAAAATAGGTGTAAAGAAAAAATATAATTAGACTTAAACAAAAGGTAGAAAAACAAGCTAGAGGTACAATAATGTTTCAGAATAACTGCATCACGATAACAATGGCAGATCCAGGATGATCCAGGGGGGTGGTTCTTATCTAGAAAGCCAGAACAGTTTATTTGCTACTCTTTATTCACCAAATTGAAATATTGCAACCAATTCAAATAACTATTGTTGTTGGCTATTCAGTCGCTAGTCAGTCCAAAACAATAGTTATTTAAGTTGGTCGCTAAATACCTGAACCATTTACCCTACCTAGATCTACCACCAAATGCAAAGGTACCATCCATGTTATAAGGTAGAAGGAACGGTATTCCACTGCATGAATAAAGAAAAATCTGAATTCCTTTGCCCTACATCATTTCAGGTTAAAACTTCAACAATTCAAGAGAGTGCTGTCATTATCCCTGCCAAACTAAGTGTGGACAATGCTGTAGCGATACTCAAGTGAACTTGCATTGTATCATGAAACAAGCTCTAGCATATCCACCCTCTTAATATTTATTAAACAGGACCTCACACTGGTCGTGGGGGTTGGGAATTACAATTGTGCTAAATTTGGGATGTCAATTGTGTGGAAAATGTTAGAATAAGTATTAGAGTCTAGTCTAGTGCAAGTATGGAATAGAACGCCTTGTCTTAATAATAAATAATAATAATAAATAATAATGGGATCAACAGTGGATTCCACAGAGTGGCTCTTCTTCCACTGGCTTGAAGTTCACAACAACTGTTTAGTTGTACTCTGGTAATTTACAGTGAGAACAAAATTAGAAAGAAATAATTGCAAGGTGAAAGAGCAAAGCTGCTTTTACAAGAGCTCAGGCTTTTGCAAGCTACAAGTAGGAACCTATCTTTTTTTCCCCTCTATGTGTTTTAGAAGGTCAATGCTGTGACAATTTTGTGGAGGAACAGTGTGGAATTGTGGAGGATTGACCTGATTGTGCAAATCTACAACCATGTAACCTGTTAGAAGTTGAAGTGTAATGAAATTTTTAGGTAATAATAGAAACTGAAATATTGCCAGATCAAATGATAACAAGTAAACTAAATAACAGTGAAGTTCATCTTGGGATAGTGATATGATATACCTGTAATGTTTTAGAGTGTTTGTTCTTTGTAATTAATATTTTCTAATTCAATTTATGTGTATTAGAGCTAGAATATTGACAAAGTGAAAGTAAATTGTCATAGTGGGGGAGCGTGAATATAATTCATAATATGGTACAAAAACAATGAGAATTACATAGCAGAATAAGTAAACTAACAAAACTAATATAATAATAGTGATTCATTGGTGGAAAACATGCTTTCAAAGAAAGACTTTAGACTTAGACTTAGACTTTCTTATTTTGCACAGAATGTATTTCGTTTCAGCTTTCATTGAACAAGTCCTACAGCTAATTTATTCATTGACTTGGGAGTTTGAAGGCAATTAATCCAAATATGCAAGATTTATACCATCATAAAGCAATTTTATAATTAAACTGTGAACAAAAACAGGAGGCACTCTACTATAAACTTTAAACAAATTTTGGACACACAATTGGTTGGTACGAATCGTATACGTTTTTTTGGATTAAGATGTATAAAATCCGTAGGACAAAGATTTATCTATAAGCCTAATAAAGTGCATTGATGTTTCTGTATCTCAGTAGGTTTCATTTTTCGTTAGAAAACGATTTGCTGAACCATACCCACAGGAATGCAATTTGATTGTCATGAATCACTGTATGATTTATTTTATGGCATTTAGATAGGAAGTTGATAGACAGGAGAGGCAATTGATCTCAAGAAGCTGGCAAAACAGCTTTCAATATATATTTCAAGACCAAGTAAAATTGTTTTTAAAAATGAACACGAAACTGATTTGATTTGAAAGGTACAATAATGATTAATGCTAGATGTACACGAGTCTGAAACCAATTTGACTACGTGAAACTTGCCCTTTGATCTGAAGTTAGATTATTAATTTTCAAACTTTTTTTATCAGTTTTAGTTGTATCAGTTCTCTGAAGGATTATAACGAAGATGAGCTTCTTAGTTTGAGAGTCGGGGATTTCTTGAAGGCCCAAATTCCATCATACTCGATTATCTTACCTGCAGTATCCCAAAGACCAAGATTAATGGGTTTGCCATCTACCATTACATTTGCTGAATAGTTATCAAACCTAAAACAGTCGAAATCAAGAATTACTAGACCATAAATACATTGTAAATAAAGCTTCAATATGCCTTAGCTTGTGGGATTAGCATTTAATTTTGAATAAGCGAGCAACAGGAAATAAGAAAATGAAGAGGTCCAATTCAACTTAGACAGAAGGAATGTTTTAGACTGTTACTTACACAGTTGGGATATATTCTCCAGGGAAAGCATTGGTTGTATAACTGATGAGAAGACAAGTCTTACCCACAGCACTGTAAAGAAGAGAAGTTTTGAAATCAATTCGGAATTAAAAGTAATGATGAAGAGGATGTTGGCCACTGGTGCAACGCTGCAAGTCGAGGCGTGTTTTGTTCAAGAAACACTGCACTAGTTTTGCAATGGCCGCTAATTTCACATGGAAATATCCCACACAACGTCTCTTAAACGCAGTAAACCTTTAGCTTCTCTAGAACTGAATGAACTGAAGACATGAAGCTACATCTAGTGAGCTGGGACGTGAGATTTTATCCCGGCCAACGACCACAACCTTCAAATGTAGGGTTGTAAATGTGCCGGGTATCAAGACTCACCCATCTCCAACTACAACACACTTTATGGCTTGCATCACGCCAGTAAAAAAGAACACAAAAATCCAAAGAGGGGTGTTAGAACTGTTAGGAGACCTTGCCAACGAATACAGTCCCCAGCAACGGTTAAATTCGGTCGAAAGAAGCAGTTATTAAGACGGAAACAGTAGCTCTGGTTAGTGAAGCGGTGTGGTTCGTTTTATAGCATTCTTCGACGCGCCCTCTTATATATACGACCCCCAGCGAAGTTCCAAAAAAAGAATACAGACTGTGACGAAATTCGCTCAATTTTCCACACATTAACGCTGACCGGGCGGAAATCTTTTGTTATGAGGGAGAAAAACCAGGAATATGATCATTTTAATTGGTTGTAGGCTCTACAAACGTCACAGAATAGGTTGTAGGCTATAAATTATGTCGGCATATATAAGTTAAGTGTTCATTTTCCGGGACGTATGTTTGGGAAAATTTCCGAAACTTCTCGATATCATGGAAAAGGAAAATGTAGCTTTAATACTTCTTTTCTGGTAACATTTTCCTCCTAAAAAGCCTCTTAAAATGTAACCAAAAATTCGATAAGTTTTTTGAAATAGTTGGAGCAGTAGTTTTTTATGGATAAGAATCTACGTGCTGGACTGTGTAAGATATGAGTACTTTTACGAAAGTGAAAGCTGAGACAACGGACCGAAATTAAAAAAGAAAGGGCAAAACTTCATGGGAACGGCCGAACAGAGGCAAAACAACCTATTGATCATTGCAACATAGACCATTTTTTTGATAGTATTCTATAACTAACTCACTGAATAATAAAGTATAGTTTAAGAAAATTAAAAGTGATAGAAAAAATATGTATCCTGCGAAAAAAAGTATTTGTTTATTTACTGAAGGCTGGTAAGAGTCACTTCCGGCGTACGTTCAAGTCACTTCCGGAAAAACACCACGTGATTAGCAATTTGCATTTACTCGAAGATTTGGCGCGAATATTTTGTCTGGAACGAAATTAAAACGCTTATGATTTGAAGCCTTACAGTTGTGTTGGAAAGAAAACTTGGTCTTCAATGTCTCAAAAATCTATTTCGTAAGTACATAACCAAGATCGAAAAAGATTGAAGCTTATTTTGCATCTGAAAATTTGAATTGATGTGCTGTTTCTTGTCATCCATGTTGTTTGTGTGTGTCTGTGTACACGAAAACTAGCAAATGTTATCTGCTTTGTCCCATATTTTCAATCCTAGGGCCTTTTTTCGTCCGTCTACCAAGGTGCAAGAGAAAAATGACGAAACAAAGACTAAAGCTGGGTAAAAAAGCTGAGTTTATCTATCTATATTTGTTAAAGAWATTTCAATGTTTTTATAGAATTTAGATTTTGAAATAGCGAAAATAGCAAACAGAATATTCCAAAACTTAAATTTCGTAGCTTTTTGATATGCACCACAATATATATTTGTATAACTTTTGAAAAAATTTTAATAAGTTGTACAATATTATGAGTCTTTTTATTCACTTGACCCCCCTTCCCCTCCACAACTTTTTTCTATTTCCCAACATGTCTCCTTCTTCTGTCCAATCAGAGATGAAGCTCCCGAGAAACCCAAACAACAAACACCAATAAAAGACTCAAAACCGACTGCACTCCTTGATTCACCGCCTGTTAAAAAGTCTCGACGCAAGGTAGCTAGAGTACTAGAAGACAGCAGTGATGAGGAGAATGACGCTATGGATACTACAACAGCAAAACAAGAAGCTAAAACTAATGGGGTGGATAGGAATGAAAGTGAAAGCAAAATGAATGGTGAAAGAGAAAATGGGACTCAAAAAACAATAAATGGAGATAAAAATACAGATGAAAGTAAGGCAACAGATTCACCAACTGATGACGATTTTATTCCCAAGAGAACAACAGGTTTGTTTTTTTTTTAGATAGAAAATTGTGCCAAAGCTGTTGTACTTTGGTCATAGATTCTTAGCTTCAGTTAAATGCTTCAACATATTTGTGACCGAAGAGATTATCAAATGTTTCTTGTTGTTGAAGCTGTAACATAATTATGAGATATTTTGTACCCTTTTATCATTTATTTATCATTTTAAAATTTATTATAGGACTGACACAGCCTAAAACATCTGTGCTTAGCATCCTCTGATCAGAAAAAAATTAACTTAGATTGTTAGATATTTACTTGACTGAAGCCAAAACCCTGGATGATAGTTACAGAAGTTGCCTGAGCATTAGATTTAGACTCCTAATAAAGATAATTGGATTAGAACATTTGGGTTTTCATTTCAACTATCCTTTTACATTTTTAGCAAGAAAACACATGAGAAAAAGAAAGGCATCGTCAGAAAACAACACCACAAACAAAGAGGTAAAAGGAATACTAACTTAAAAAAATAAAATTTCATGGAGTTAGAAAATAAATAATGTAAGTAGTGCAATACAGTTATACTTCCGGCGCCTAACATGGCAGCCACATATTCTTTGTCTGTATATACGTTATTGTTTTTTATGGTTTGTCGCTGTTATGTAGTCCCTTTTTCTTATATTGATAATTATAACATTA